CATCGTGTGCTCTCGCGATACTTCGTCAATCTTTCTTCCTGTATTCTGCGATACAATCTTGTCAGCTTTTTAAGAGGGGCCCATTGTATTACGACAAGTAGCGGGTGAATAGCTTACCCAGAACTCTAACGGTAGCTGGTGGAACTTTTGAATGATCTGGCTTGCTCCTATAAAGACCGGGCGCATTTTTCATCGACATGATGGCGCGTTGAATTTTGAAAGGGAGAACTGAGGAAACGACGAATCCGTCTTGCCTAAGGTGATAGGTAGGCAGGTGGTCGTCGCTTCCGAAGATATCCGAAAAGGAGGTAGACGACCTTTTCCATTGCCCCTCGAGATGCATTAATTGTTCCGTCAGAACGACAGAGTTAAATCATCTTAGTCTTGAAATTGCGAAGCTCTGCGGGCTTTGCGAATGGTCTTTCCGGCCTCGACGGCTTCTTCCGTAACTGCTGCTCTTCTCTCTTTCAGATCTTCCTTCGTCGCTTCTCTACATAGCCGCAATTTCGGACGTTTATTGAAGATTGCCTGCAGCTCACGCGATTCCACGTTGACGTATCACCTCGAGGCTCTTCAGGGGAAGTCGTCTCTTGACTACTTGTAGACTTCTGTTTTCTTAGCACTATTCTGAAGATAATCGACTAGCCGATTGAATTCTTCGTCGATAACGTTAACAACGGAATCCCCACCCCATCCCCCCAGAGACTAGCAAGGGAAGCAAAGTGGATCCAGTTGATGAACGTCTTGTTGTTTCGTTTCCCAAGCTTTGAGCTCTCTCTGCGCACTAGAAGATAGAGTCTAAAGCGGAGAACTTCATGGTTCTTTTCCATGTAGAACGTGGAAAGAACGGCGACATCAATGAGGCGAAAATATCGAAAGAAGGTTATATCATCTATTTCATTATGGAGCTGTCCACCAGGTAATCTCATTTCCATCGCAGACGGCAGAGCTTCTGGAACTGTGGGTTATCATGGATGGTGTGGGTCGAAATGATATACTCGCTTTTCGACAGTTTCTTAAACTGCTCACTCCATTCCGTTACTTCAAACCCAACGTGGAGCTCTTCAACCAATCTTCTGGAACAATGGCGGCGTTGAAATTACTGACGATGACCGTGAAGAAAGAGTGGTCCAAACCCGAATAGCCTCTCCAGTTACATGTAAAAACGCTTCCAGCTCCTCCCGTTCGTAGCTTGATGTTGTTACGTAGACAACGAAGATTTTTAGAGCTAGGGCTGAGCCACATCTTCTCAATAGCGAATTTTCGATAAGAGTGTCCAACTCTCGTACGAAGCGATGTTTATCACTAAGCCATAATTGACGAGGACACCTACACCGCGGACACCTTTGCTGCAGCATATTACAAGGAACAGTTCTTCTCCAGTCTCACAATCAGAAGCGGCATGCAGAGGGCTACGCCTTTCTGTGTCAGCCTGTCAATGAGGTTGTATTTGATCTCTATCACCATTAGCCTTCTATGCAAGCTTCCGATGCAAGATTCGTGCATTTACAACAGTGTACGTTATACTGGTCTTCGTCCTTCAAGACATCTTGTTGCAGCCAAGAGATTGAGAAGCCCCTCCAGTGGTCCCAGCCAATGCTACCGTATTGGGACCTCCCTTTCCATTATTGTCTTTATCATATGGGTAGCCACGAGTGGCTTGCCAGGATCTAACTGAAGTGTATTTTTGTGGTGCGTGCCTTCAAGCACAACGTTAACAGCTATCTCAAGATCACCGAGTTGGTAGTCACTGAGAGTAATTAATTTGTTTGAAAGATTTTTCACGAAAGAGTCCTCATTGTTATCAAGCTGGACCTTCCTCCATTATTACTGAGGACCTCTCCCCTCCATTAATGCAATTCTCTAAAAAATGTCCTCTGCCCTCTAAAGTATCACTATTCGGTGTAACGATCTGTAAGAGCCTGCAAGAGCCTGTAGATGGAGGAGCGGCCGTAATAAAAAGAAGAATAGTGCGTGAAAACTTGGCCGTCTGCAAAAGAAGTGTCTAAGAAGTGAAGCTGAGTAGAAATCTAGTCGAGAGTGGGTTGTAGAACAAAGGGAGCTGCTTTTCCTTTCATTGTGCAACATTGCTCAACCCCGCGCATAGGAAATGTCAGTCCACTACATCCACGACTCGTCTTATCACGCGTATTTGAGGCTCGCCTCCAGCTTCTCGAGGATCGGCACTAGGCTCAGGCATGCTACCCTTCACAACCCTTAGCCATTTGCATGAAACTATTTGAGGTTGAGTGGGTGGCAGTGATTACAAAAAGTCCGGTGAAAATGTAGTTGGGGGGGGGAGGGGCACCCATTCGAAAGCTAGTATATCAAGAAATGAACTCAATGAAACTTATGCCGTGTTTTATCACGGATATGCCAGTTTTTAAATGAGGGCTTTCGTAAGGAAGGAACACCGCGGGGGCAAACTTTCTTTCTTTTTTCTTTTTTTTTTGCAGGAGTCAATCATCCCAGCCACCCAGGT